AAAAATGTGGATAAGACCAAGGAAGCACTTTTTGAAGGAAAGTTTTACTATAAAACAATTAGTTGCATTAGAGGTCATTCAGAGTTTCATGCAATTTCGGGTGTTTCATTTTTAACTTTCGACTTCGGTTGTAAGTTGATACCGCATGGCGAACAGAAAGAAAATCCTCCACATTTCGTGACTCGGTGTTCCTTTAAGGTTATAAAATCGCTGCTTAGGCTACATGGTAGACTTTTAATAAGAGTATAATCTTAATCATATTAAAATCGGAGTATTGGTGTCTTATGTAAATGTACTCAGAAAGTCTCTGGTGAAGTCGCGAACTGTCAAAGACAGGGCATTACTCTGCCTTTCAGCATGAGCCCTCCATGTTTAGCATGTTTCCTCATTAAACACAACAAAATCGTTTGCTTGGCGCTGTTGTGTCAGAATGCTTGTGTAATACAAAAATACTTTAGGACGCTTAGTTTAAGCAAATTTGATGAACGCGATCATGCGTGTTTAATCTGAAGGGAGTCCCTCCAGCGTGTTGTGTGTGTGTCTGTCTGTGTGTCTGTGTCAGGCTCATTGATGGGTGTCAGGGGTGGAGTGAGCGATTTGCGGGATACTCCTAGTCTTAGCAACTAGATAAATGTATAGGAGGATTAAGCAAAATTGTTTCTACTTTATAATTAATGTTCTCAACTCACAGCAATAAAACCTTACAATGAGTGCAACTGTTTGTATTCAATAGTTCATTATTATAATTTTCCATTTTCCATATCTGTAATGCCTGTATTTTGGCATTTTTTTGCAGTCCACTAAGAATCCAACATGGAAATCAATGTTTTTTTTATTGGCATTGATTGTTTTGAAATTCAAATGGCATTAACATGCCTCTGTTTTAATTTCTGTAATAAATATGGCTGTCAAGCCAGGATCTTGATGGTTTATTGTGGTTATGAACAAAATTCTAATAAACAATTATATTTTGAATTGAAATAGTTTTTGTCTTGTGTTTACAGTAATTTTACATTTGAATAGCCAAAATGACAAGTTTCAGTATTTTAAATGCGATTAATCGTGATCATTTTTTTTAAAAGGTGCAATTAATTAGTTTTTTTAATCGGTTGACACCACTAATATATATATATATATATATATATATATTATACACACACACACACACACACACACACACACACACACACACACACACACACACACACACACACACACACACACAAACAAACAAAATACACATTCATTTAAGCTAATTTCTTATGTTGCCCAGTCATGAAAATAAGCTGCTTGCAAAGTGGCAGGGGCTGTATGAAATCAAAAGGAAAGTGGGTCCTACCACACATGAAGTTGCATCTGACCATGCTCATTCTACACGTACACTGCATATAAATCTGCTTAAACAATGGTTTCCTCATCCTCCTGGATCTAGCCACAGCTTGATGATCCGGCAAGACAAAGAAGAGGATGATTCTGAAGTATTTCTGCACCAGTCAGCTCTAGGAGATGTGGATCTGAGTCACCTGTCCCCACAGCAACAGCATGTGGTAAGAGACATTTGTTTAACAGAAGTCTTTTCAGAGTACCTTGGCTTTACTATCTTGATCGAACATAATATTAAGTTGAAACTCGATGCTGTAGTGCGAAGAATGAGTTACAGGGTCCCTGAACGTCTCCAAGAAGCACTGAAAGAGGAGGTGGATCTCATGCTGAGGCTGTGGATTATAAAGCCCTCTAAAAGTGAGTGCTGCCCCCCTATGGTCCTTGTTCCGAGAAAGGATGGGTCTATAAAGTTCTAAATAGACTTTCGTTACCTCAACTCTGTGACCAAGTTTGATGCTTACCCTACTCACGAATCACAAATCAGTGATCTCACTGATCGACTGGGTACCTCAAACTGATCTTTCAAAAGGTTATTGGCAGATTCCATTGACTCAGCAGTCCAGAGAACTTACTGCGTTTAAAACCCTCTAGGGCCTATTCCATTTTAAGGTTCTAGCCTTTGGACTGCATGGGGCACCGGCCAGCTTCCAAAGACTAATGGACCAGGTACTGCAAGGACTACCATTTACAGCTGCTTATCTGGATGATATTGTGGTTTACAATATCACATGGCAGCAACATCTGCAGCATCTCCAGGAAGTTCTGCAACGCAGAACTGACAGTTAATCCCCAAAAGTGTTACATCGCAAAGGCAGAGACAGAGTACTGTCTGTTATCAGTAAAGGGGTGCTCCGACCTCAGATGGAGAAGGTACGGGCCATTGAAGAGTGTCCACAGCCACAAACTCATAAGGAGTTGAGGTCCTTTTTGGGTATGGCTGGGTTCTATCACAGATTTATTCCCAACTGCAGTATTGACAGACATGGTTGGTTCAAGGAGTCCCAATCAGCTGAAGTGGACCCAAAACACCGTTGCAGCTTTCCAAGATCTCAGAAAGGCCTTGAGTAGAGATTCTGTCTTGCATAACCTCGATTTACACCAACCCTTTGTTTTGCAAACTGATGCTTCAGATCTAGGCCTGGGAGCTGTATTGCTGCAGGGTAGCTCTGACACACGACGCCCAGTGGCCTTCTTGAGTCGAAAGCTCTTCCCCAGGGAAGTTTGCTATTTCATCATGGAAAAGGAATGCTTGGCTGTGAAGTGGGTATTGGACTCTCTGAAGTATTATCTGCTAGGCTGGGAGTTTATACTGAAGACCGATCATAAAGCACTACAATGGCTTCAAGAAATGGCTTCAAGAAATGAAAGATACCAACAGTCGTATTACCCACTGGTACCTGGCCATGCAGCCCTTCCGTTTTTCAATCAGAAAATCTTTTTTTGTCAAAGAAAACCTTATGGCTGACCATTTGTCCCGATGTGCCAGTGACATTCCCTAAAGGAGGGAGTATGTGATTGGCCAGTGTGGTGGCCACACATTGATTGAGGCAAGCACGCACACATGCATACACTTATACACACACACACACACACTACATATATATATATACACACACACACACTATACACATTCATTTAAGCTAATTTATTCGTTTAGTTCAATGAAGTTGTTTTATATTTAGTTTCTTTCATATCTGATTTAATTAAGACACATACACTTTCTGTTTCTTATTACTTTACTTTATTATTCACAGTACATGCATTACTATTTTGGGTGCACACTAAATCGGTTATCTGTACTGTATGTTTTGTTAATTTAGTATTCTTTTGAGTTTAAGTTACCATGCTGCAGTGCCGATGAGGAACAGTTTCAGGAACAGTGTTGTCCGACAAACAAAAGGGCTGATGTGCCGCCAAGTGCTGTCTTTTAGATTCGTCTACCGATACCATTGGCTTAATGGCTTGGAGGGAGAGCTGATGTTAAGTTTAAGTTCATTAATAATTTGCAGTGTTTGTTTGTTCAGATTTATATTTATTTTTGCCTTATTTAGAATTTATTTAACTATTTAGATTTGTATTTAGATATTTGGCTTAGTTTATTGTTTTTGCAAATTGTCTGTTTTTGTATCCCCCTTCTTGTTTACTGTGGACTAGTCCCTCTTGTATAAATGTGGTCTGTCTTGTCATTTCATGGAGTTCTGTATTTGGTTTAGACATGATTTGTTTGGTTTGAACTCAGTTTGTTTTCTTTGTTTAGTTTATTGAATTTTCAATTGATTTAATTATTTAATTCATTTGTTTTTTAATTTGAAACTTTTTTTTTGACTTTATAAAAAATAATTGTTTTGGCAATCTTCTTTTTGTATGCCCCTTACTATATGTGCTGGCTCGGTCCCTTACAACATGGTAGACTTAAAAAATTAAAATCAGATTATTGGTGTCCATGTAAACGTACTCGTTGTGTGCAAACAATAAATAGTTTGGGGTTAATGGTATGATGACAACAGGTCAATGTTATGCTAGTTCTGTTTAGAGTTTTGAAAATGTAACTACAGATTGGAAAAAGCAACATTAGCAATTAAAAGAAAAAGTGTAAGAGAAATTTGACTGAAACCTACTCTGCAGTGGCTGAAGAAGAAATAATCAAAATGGTAGACTTTCGTTTGCTGAGGAACATGAGGTGTGAACAGGCGAGAACTGGTCCAAAGTTCAATTTAGTGATGAAATCATGTTTCATTTTATTTGGGTCAGTAAATAAATATTTTCAAGAATGTTTGTCATTAAATTGAAGAAAACTGAAACCTACATATATAAAAAAGTTGGTGAAATGTGGATGAGGAAGTGTCACGGTTTGGGAAATTTTCTTCTGCAGCAAGACCAATATATTTAATCATAGCAGTGTGAGATACTATTAAAGTTCTTTGTACGCATCTGTGCTGGTCATTCAAAGCAAGAGCCTGCATACTTCCTGCTGCTTTCAGATATGCTGCAAACTCAAATGTTAGTTGTTATCTTTCTCCATGCTTTCTCTATTGCTGTTCTATAATCTCCATCACTGTGTTTTCCACAAAACTTTTTATATGTGCCTTTTGGCTATTTTCCAAAACACTGGTCTACTATGATATCCACACAGCTAAACTTTTGAACTATGAAGATTGGATGATTTCTCAAAAAACAAAAACTTTATTTTATTTTTTATATAGGCCTATACTATTAAAAAACCACAATCAAACCAACTATGATCAAGGATCATAAAGATCTAACAGTAAAGAGTCAGTGAAAACAGGCCTAATTCCTTTAGACCCAATGCTGTTCTTAAAATTATAGTCAGGCTGTTATTTCTGGGGGCCACTCTGTCAGGCATGTGTCTTGTGACCGGTTCTAAAATTCAATTACCCGCTCCTATTTTTTTAAATACTTATTTTTCTTTCCATATTCAGTGAAGTACTGCTCAGAACTATATAATTGAAATAGGCTCAATAATGTTTTGGACCCTGAGCAAACAATGGTGGTATTTTATCCCTACTGAAATACTTTTCCATGCATCACAAACCACTATGGACCAAAATGAATCAGTCACCAATTATTCTTTCTTCCTCAGGCCTTCGGTTACTCACCAAAATTGACATTGTATTCACCCCCTCGCTCACGGTACATTTGGTAGACAAAGAAGCAGGAGACAGGTTTGAGCAAGAGGCTCAGGATGGCCATGCCTCCACTAAAGCGGAACAGGTCCCGTGTGGATCTCTCGTATAGGAGTTCAGCTGCTGCATAGTAGATCCCAAAATGAACAATATCAGTCAAGATTGTCACTGCCAGTCCGATCAAGAACTTCATGGAAGAGAGCAAAGACCAAACATTAGTATAGCAAATATATTACACACACACATGCACACACACTAAAACATTTAACCTCGACTTGAAGATATATACAGTAACAGTAGTCATCAACTTTTTAACCTTACACTGAATGTTTCCTGGAATTTCTTGCTACAGTATACATGCTATTCCAGCTGTTCTTTTCCTTAGAGCATTGTGCTTAGCTAAAAAGGGCTAAGCACCATGCATTAAAGAAATGCATTGAGGAAATATACTCACGGGCCACTTTATTAGGTACACATTACTAGTACTGGGTTGAACCCCATTTGAATATAATGAATTCATTGTCATGTTCAAGCAACCAGTCTGAGATGATTCACGATTTATGACATGGTGCGTTATCCTGCTGGAAGTAGCCATTAGAAGATAGGTACAAAATGGGTACCCTGTGGTCATAAAGGGATAGACATGATTAGCAATGATACTCAGGTAAGTTGTGGCGTTGACACCACGCTCAATTGGTACTAACGGGCCCAAAGTTTGGCAAGGAAACATCCCCCACACCATTACACCACTACCACCAGCTTAAACCATTGATACAAGGCAGAATGAATTCATGCTTTCATGTTGTTGACACCAAATTCTGACCTTACCAACCGAATGTTACAGCGGAAACTGAGGCTCGTCAGACCAGACAACGTTTTTCCAATCTTCTATTGTTAAATTTTTGTGAGCTTGTGCGAATTGTAGCCTCAGTTTTCTGTTCTTAGCTGACAGAAGTGGCACCTGGTGTGTTCTATTGCTGCTGCAGCCCATCCGCCTCAAGATTCAACGTATTGTGCATTCAGAAATTCTCTTGCATACCTTGTTTGTAACGAGTGGTTATTTGAGTTACTGTTGTCTTTCTATTAGCTCAAACTAACCTGGTAATTCTTCTCTGACCTCTTGCATCAACAAGGGATTTGCACCCACAGAACTGCCACTCACTGGATATGTTCTCTTTTTAAGAGCATTCTCTGTAAACCTTACAAACAGTTGAGCATGAAAATCCCAGTAGATCAGCCGTTTCTGAAATACTCAGACCAGCCCGTCTGGCACCAACAACTATGCCACATTCAAAGTCACTTAAATCATCTTTCTTCCCCATTCTGATGCTCAGTTTGAACTGCAGGAAATCGTCTTGACCATGTCTACATGCCTAAATGCATTGAGTTGCTGCCATGTGATTGGCTGATTAGAAATTTGTGCTAACATGAAGTTGGAAAGGTGTACCTAATAAAGTGGCCGGTGAGTGAATAGTCAAAAGTCTAGTTATGGATTTTTCATCGGTCGTTAATAAAGAACAAATCAATTGCCTAAAAAGCCTTCATGCATGAAAAAACCCACCTACCAATAAAACAGCATCTATGGAGTCTCTCTGTGCTATGGCCCACACTCCCACTGCAAGAACACTGAAGTTCCCCAACACATAAGAAGCTGGGAGCCAGGAAAGTAAGCATGCCCTGTGTAAGCACATATTCAAACTGTTAAAAAAAACATTGTACTAACATAGCACTCTCCTTTAACTCAATTTGGTTTATTTTTTTGTAAAAAAATATTGTGTTTAAAAAGTACACCAATAAATGGCTTCTGTTTAAAACAAACAAACTTATTTATACATTTTCCTGTTGTCAAGATTAAAGTTCCAGAAATGCACAACTATGCAAAATTACCTGACCTCAGACCAATTGAGGTGACATTAAGAATGCAGTTTCTAAAACAAAACCCAAAATTTATAGGAACTGCGGGATGTAGTTTGTTTAATATACTGTATAATGGCTAAAATAAAAACAAAACCGAACTGTTTCTGTGTGCCTGAAGTTGGCTGACTCTTTTGATAATGATTATTTTTATCAATTTCCCAGTCAATGGGCTCTATGCACAGCTAGAGAGTTTAAGCCGACAATAAACGTCCGGTGAAAGTTCAAGGTGGCTATTTTCAATTTTACAAGGTTGATTTTACAGCACTGATGTTGTAATGTAATTACAATACATTCAGTTAACCACTTAAACTCTGCTGCTATTTGGGGATTTCCGCCTGGATTTTGCCTACCCAAATTTAAAAGCTTTTCAAATCCACATAAAGAGGTGTAAATGCAAAAATTTGGTATAATTTTAAAGAAAACCCTTTGAATTTTCATAAAACACTATTGAAAGTGTTTAAAATAACTGTATATGTTGTCTGTGTTATAATAAACACCTAAAAAAAAGAGGCGCTTTATGTTTTTTTTTTTTTAAATCTAATTTGAAAGTGTACCTTTTAGGTTCTGTGTGGTCTAGCGTGCTGTAATTAATTTTAGTGGTTCCTGCACATGTCTAAAAAAAGAAAAAAGTCTCTACCATAATCTATGCAAAAGTTATTGCATTCCAACTAATGAGAGGTGCTGTACAAGCCACAGGGACCGATCATTGTTTTCATATTTCACTATTCTTTTGTTTGATCAAATATAATTCACTGAGTTTGGACCACATCAGACATATAAAAGGATTACTTATGCACATCACCTCAAAAACAGAGGAGAATGGCCCTGAAGGGCACAGCATAAGGTAAGAGATGACAGCTGTCTGTGCTATCTGGGGCTGCTTATTGATCATAAATGTATTGTTTACATTTCTGCGCCATGGAAACACCACAATTCATTCAACAACTGTTTGGAATATGAATATAATTCAGTAAAAAGAATGCTAGAACTGAATGAGCACCGGCAAGAGATTTCAATTGAGCTATAACTTGTGACATGTGTCATATAAAAAAAAATATGAAAATGAACAATGTAAAATACCTAGCTGGGGTATCCAAAATACTGTGAATTTAAGTGTAAATAACTTTTATACAGTAGAATGAAAACCAAAGTGATGCATATGTTGATAAAATCTAGATTCTACACTTTCAAACCACACCACTTACGGGGGTCTGGTGCAATGCTAGCCCTTTAAATCTGAAAGCGAAAGTCGATAACATTCACAGACTTTAGCATTCATTTAGTTGTTTAGGTGTAAAACAAGATGAAAGACCGTTGTAACCACTAGGACTGTCAGTAGCAACAGGCTACGCAGACACTTAATTGAAAATACTGGGTAAAAATAAACTGTCATATTTTAAAGAAATGGCGGGAGGAAATGTAATTTAATGCAATTCTTCTTCTGTTATATCTAACAGGCAGTGAAGATTGCTGATTTTTAAAGAAATCAGATCTTAAATGTTACAATTTTGTAATGAAAAAACAGTTTTACTGGAAGCCCTTGGGCTGCCTGGCTGAAAATTAAAAGTCTGTGTGCAAATACCCTATATAGCCAATATATTTATATCCATAAATCCCTAAAATCTATATCCATTAAAATAAGAGATTGGCCACCTAATTTCTTTAGTAATAGAAAGCTAATACAACTAAATTCAAACATTAAAATAAAAAACCCAAATTCTAACTAAATTCTCTCTTTTTAATGTTTTAAATTTTTCCTGTTTATTAGAATTGTGTGCAATATTTTTCCCAACATAATAAATTGGCCTGTACATATTTATGGACTGTTATCTGTCATTTTTATTTAATTTTGTTAGATTAGTTTCAGTTTTAGCTAATCCAATCTACTGTATATGCTCAAATATATAACTGTATAGCATCCTACGGATTATATTAATTTCAAAGAGAGATCTGTGAGGGGCGTACTCATTTAAACAATGGCTATGGAACTAAATATTTCTTCAGTAATTTAAACTGATATGTAAAAATGTATTTAGAAGTAATTCAGTTTAAAGAAGAAAATATTAAATATTAACTATTTTTTGAACAGCTGAATTAATTTGATTGATTTGCCTCCTCGAAAAATGCACACAGTATTAATGAAATACTTTGACCTTTAACTGAAAGTGTAAAGCTTCCACTATATTTAAAATATGCAAATGGGGGATATTTGAAAATATGTGCACTTTAGTCACTTTTTCAATGTACTACTACTTAAGAAAAACAACTGTATGTTTAGGTGTTTAACAGATATTTAGAAAGCTTCAATTTGAAGAAGAAATATTTCTGATGAATAGAAAACTGGAAGATAAACATTCACCGAAGGTGAAATTCCTCAGGTTAGTGATGAAAAACAGCAAAAATGTGCCATAACTCTCACCAAACTGTCAGTATCCAGTGAACCAACAAAATGGCCTGCAGAGAGAACACATATAGTGCAGTTCATGAGTAAATGCACACATATAGTATATTATTTTCTAGAGACAGTGTGTTGCTGCACTTATAATGTGGGGTATTTATAAAACAGAAAATGTGTTATGGTCAGCATGCTTTGAACAAATTCTGCTTTAAATCAAAAGAAAGAGCAAGGATTTCCTTGTGTTTCCATTCAGAATGTTATTGTTTCCTCGCTGCACCCTCACAATAACAACAATCAACTTAATGTAAAAGCTTGCTTGCAGTTATAACAATAGCAGTTACTGATAAATTCTTTAAGAAAGTGATCTTTGAAGCCTCCCATTTGGTTTCATAAAATGTAGACTCATTTTTAAATGACAAAACCACAATGACACCACAATGACAAAACTTTTTATCTTTAAACTTTTAATGGATACTTTACCAATCAAATAATTATTTGATAATGAATAATATCAATGTACTCACTGTAATGCACAAATGATTGAAAATAAATTACCTTCAGATTTATGGCTGGTATCTCCATATTTTCACTGCCTGTTCAGAATTAAATGGTCCTATGTAGTTTTCAGTATTTCACTAAGGAAGCATGAAACACTTTCATCATAACTGTGTGTAGAAATTTGTGCTGTTCTGAAGTGACTGCAAACACAAACCATGTGACTTCAGCCTGACAAGTGTCATGTGACTACACCTCCCACCTCTGCTCATTACTCCTTCAGAGCATATAAGCACAACTAGAAAACCTGAAACAGAGTGTTATTTTAACATTAGATTTTTTTTCCTACAACAACATACAGCTAAGCGATAAATTTACATTTTTTAGGCCTAATGATACTGGAATAAAATTATAAAAACCCCATAGGTCGGCTAGTGTTAAGTAATTTTAAAATGGTAACAGTACAATTGTTTTTATTATAGATATCAAATTTATGATTTGTTTATCACAGAAAGATATTTCCAGGAAAGTTTTTTTACTCAGAAGACAAATAAAAAACTTAAAACCAGCTAAGAGATCTTTTGTATTTGAATATATTAAGACTGCACAGCTACCTTTGGATGTTTAAGAAAACAAGTTTCTTGCTATGGTATGAACTTGCCAGCTAATATGAGATTGCAATTAACCTATTTTAGTTTTAATTAATCTTCACACATTACCTTATTATAGCTATTCTTTCACTTCCACTGTTTTCTTCCTTTTATCTGTTTTCTGCTACAGAAGGATTCTTCAGCTACATCAGTCAGTTATACTCTAGCTGTGTGTGCATCTTTTTAGCATAATATTGACAATTTTTATTCATTGACAGAATATTAACAAAATACAGTAATAAAGTAGTGGGGCCCGAAGCAGGGACATACATGAATATTTATTTTGTCAATTTCCATTCCAGAAAATTTTATTGTGTTTACAAAAGCATTTATGGACCACAAGTTGTTTTTCAACAAGGTAATTGATTTTCAGCATCAAACAATGTTTGATGAAATTGTTTCATGTGTCAAAATTAATCCACGATAAAATTCATTCATTTTCTTGTAGGTTTAGTCCCTTTATTGATCTGGGTCGCCACAGCGGAATGAACCGCCAACTTATCCAGCAAGTTTTTACACAGCGGATGCCCTTTCAGCCGCAACCCATCCCTGGGAAACATCCACACACACATTCACACACACACTACGGACAATTTAGCCTACCCAATTCGCCTGTACCGCATGTTTTTGGACTGTGGGGGAAACCAGAGCACCCGGAGGAAACCCACGCGAACGCAGGGAGAACATGCAAACTCCACACAGAAACGGCAACTGAGCCGAGGCTCGAACCAGCGACCCAGCGACCTTCTTGCTATGAGGCGGCAACACTACCTACTGCGCCACTGCTTCGCCCACGATAACATTCAATAACTAATTTGCCAGAGGGATCTTAGGCCCTGTTGACACCTGGTATTAAGCTGTGTTTTCGCCAAACAATTTACCATTCACACCTGGGGCCTCATGTATCAACGCGGCGTACGCACAAAAACTTTCCGTACGCCAGATTTCACACTCACGTTTGGATTTACTAACAATGAAATTAACGTGAGAATGTGCGTTGGTCCACTCTCACTTCATGTTGGGCGTATGTGTATTTCTTGTGTGTGTTTGTTTTATTTTAACTGGCGACTCCTAGGGGCAATCATGTTAATTCGCACACTACAAAGTATCTTTGAGCCGTGCAATGCCAGCTATATAGGACGGGATCACCCACATGTCTAGCAGGTTTCCATACCATGCAGTTGACCAGCCAAACAATAAAGCGCAATTTGCAGTGATCGCCGTTTTTTCCAATGTAATCAGAGCGATCGACTGCATGCACATTGCTATAAAGGAGCCATCTGAAGACGAATTTGCATTCGTGAATCGGAAACTTTTTCATTCAATAAATGTGCAAATAATATGTGATGCTCAAATGCGCTCAACAAATATTGTAGCAAGGTGGCCTAGGTCAACCCATGATTAATTCATTCCCACAAACAGCATGATTGGGATGAGGCTACAAGATGGCAGGCACTCGTTCAGTTGTAGAGCAGGCAATTGGGCAACTGAAATGCCGGTGACGTTGCCTGATAAGAGCTGAGGTGTTCCCCTAATATACATCTTTGTCTCCCACAAACATGGAAACTACTCCAGACAGTAAAGTGTTTCCCACAATTGAGGCAATTCTCTCCTCAAAGGGTGTTAGTTCAGCATTTCCTGTTCCCCCGCCTGTTTGGTCCACACTTTGATGGTGCGCCACTGTTCTCCTCTTAATCTGCACTTTTACATCGAACCATTTCTTTTTATTTCACTAACATTGAATTCACTTACAGAATCGCAGAGAGACGCCACGTTTTTGTTGGCAAAACAAGTGGAAGAACAAGAATTGTTTGGAGACATGGGTCATCAGTGTTAGGTTTATAAATGTGCTTCAACAAAGGTTTTGTTTTAATCTCCCGCTATGAGTACGCAGCTGGGGTCTGTTCTTCGTAGTTGGATTATTCAGTTAGCTGGATTTGTATATTGACGATATGACATGATCCAGGATTGTTTAGTTCTTCAAAATTCATTTTAGATTTGTTGTCATAGCAACAGTTCTGGTAGCTTAAACCTGGTCGGGAGCAGGCTCATTCATATAAACAGGATTAGAAAGGGTCATTTTAAGCAAAGATAATACTGAAAGTATGTACCAAATGCTAATATTTTCTCACAGTAGTTATATACAATTGGCAAAATAGTAAACATAAAGTAAAAAAAAAAAATACAATGAAACGTATGCACTCTGCACTCCAAAATAAAGTACAAAGATTGCCACCTGGTGGTTCAAAGAGAACATTTATCGATATGAACTTTTTAGTTACAAACGCATACATGCACAATATTCAACTTTTTAAAAAAAGGATAATTTATGCAGTCATGCACGTGTTTTGACCGCTAATACTAGCAGTGATTTGATACTTCACAAAAGTTGCAGACACCTTTACCATTATAAAAATGCTTTTTTTTGGTAGCAAAATTTATTTATACAGTTATTCCAAACACCGATTAAAAAAACTTGAGTAGGCCTATATAGGCTACTTTAATAAAGTAAATCTTCTCTAAATGTAGAACTAAATATACATTGATATGCATTGAAATACATAATGAATACTCTTGACACATGAAAGTGTAAAGCCTGCAGCCCACAACAAACGTGGAAAGTTATTGTGTGTTATATTTAACAAACCGTTTGCTGCTAATTTGATGTGATTTTGCTCACATGGATAATTGAATATTAATCAGATGATGTCATTATGCAGCTGTGCCGTCAACCAATCTTTACATTGCTGGTCATGATTTTGAGGATCGATAGATCTATTCTTCCCAACACACGCAGCGATCTCAGATCAGTTTATCCAGACATTTTAATCTGATTTGTGAACTTGTTTGAAGAACCAAATTAGCCAGAGATCAGTTATCAGGATGAACTGATCCAGGATAAGGCAAATCATCTTAGATCATTTAAGCGAGGTACGAAGAACAGACTCCTGGACTCACGTGTGGATTTCAATGCACGACAGAAATACATTTGTAAGGAACATTTTTTACCCGAGAGTTTTCTGCATCTTGAAATGGTGAAATTCTGATTTGCCACATTTCTCCTTTTAAAAAAGAAGCAGTTCCAGTTCCAGTTTGTGGTAATTGTCCTGTCTCTACAGATTTGGTAAGTAAGCAATCTTTGTTTGTTTATTCAGATGGCAAAGTTAGTTTCTATCATCAGCAGTAGTCTTTCAGTGTTTAAACAAATACCTTAGTCAAAATGATTTAGCTACTAAGTTTACAGTACGTTATTATCACTATTATGGACTGAAAGATTCACTGTAAATGCTGCTCTCCGAGTGTAAACAAAATCAGAGCGTGCCCAAACAGAAACTCCCATTTTTATGCAAATTCTTCCCTCTTTCCCTCCCCCAACATTCCCACCTAAACAGAAATGGACACACCCAATTTCCTGACTTTTTCCAAACTAGAGGTGTGAAAACACCCTGCTGAGACAGAGGGGTTTCGTGGGCCTTTAACTCTAGGGCAGGCCCGGCGCTACGGGGGGGCAAAGGGGGGCATTGCCCCCTCAGAAAGAATTTGTGCCCCCCAGTTTTTATAAAGGATTGTTCACTCAAAACTGAAAATTCTTTCTGTCATTAATTACAAACACTCCCGTCGTTCCAACCTTTAGAACACACATTTAAATATAAAAAAATATATGACATAGCAATTAAATTGTGAGATTAAAGCTAGTACTATAGTCCAGAGATCCGGTCCCCGCGTCAGGTCAGGTGCGCCCCTAAATAAAACGCGCACACAGCGATGGAGGCGCACTCAGCTCACAAGGGAGAAAAGTGGGTGACATGAGACGATCAGCTTAATTAATTGCATGTTTTGGTCAACTAAATCTTTAAACACAACTCTCTTGAGCTCTAAAAGGAAGAAACGCAGAAGAAATTTACTGTTAAATAAATTTTAGCAGAGCAACTGCCAGTCATTTTCACATTAGTTATTCTGGAAGATGTAGCCTAATAAAATGTTTTAATAAAAATAAATATTCACTGCACAGTGCCACAGAAGGCTACACTATAAATAATATTTTAATTAATTTATTAATATTATTATTAATATGATTACAATTAAGCTAAAATTGACAAAAAGCATAGCCCTTTGAATGTTTGCTTTCATTTTGACATTGCTAAAAAGCGCACTTTTACAGTTGTGTAGAGAAACATCCCATTATGCAGCAGCAGTCTAGGTATAATAAATGCCTTTTGCATTTAAAGATGATCAGCCTGCGAAGTCAAGTTTGCAGTGTTATAAATGGAATAGGTATATAGTGCTAATAGGCTACCTAAAGCGGAATGACTCGGTCAAGCTGATTTTACTATATTTATTTACGGTTATACGAATAGTCTGATCGTGGGTCAGCTTGCATGTGTGGGCATAATTTGACCTTTACCTAAAACTTTTAACATTCATATGCCTGCTATTTGAAATAAAAGTGAAATAAATAAGGAGAAAAACATGATTTAAAGCACTCGTTTGGCACTGAAGCCATGATCCGTCTGCATTAATAAGCGGTATCGTTGCATTACCATCATTAATAAAATCAGTAATAGTGAAA